CAACTGGTCTTCCTGACGCCACCTGACTCTTCTGATCCACCCTTTAAGAATGCTGAGGCCATGCTTCTCTTTGGCTCAGAAATGAGCCATCCTATGAGAAGGCCCAGAGTCTGAACAGACAACATTAACAATGATCATCTGTTGGGCACTTACTGTATGCAGGCACCTACTGTGCACATCACAAGCAATATCTTCACTTACTCCTTACAGCTACCCTTTGAATTGGTTTTACTGATGAGGAAACTGAGGCTTTGAGAGAGGAACCAACTTGCCCAAGGTTGCCCATCTATGAAGCAGTAAAGCTAGATCTACGTGTCTGACTCAGAGAGGTCATGCCCATAAAGCATTAAGTTGGCTTTCAAGGATGTTGATAAATTGATCCCAAGCCAATATCTTAGCCTCATCATCCCTATATTCACCTATATTAGGCAACACAGGCCATTTGTTGTCCCCTGAGCATGCCCTTGTTGATCTCCACTCCCTACCTTTGCTCACACATGTTCCTCCTCCTGAAATTTCCTTCTCTCGTTTCTATCCTTCCAGAAGTCTTGTCCTAAATGTCTCCTCCCCCAGGGAAGATCTCCTTCCTTTAATGATTGTCAGAGCCTTGCATTACACTCAAGCATGTTCATGTGTCACCTTCTCTAGTGGGCAGCAAGTTAATTGGTAGCCGAGACCAAGCCTGATTCATTCTCAGCTCCTCAGAAGTGCCCCGTACTGTGCACGGCACGCATGTTTTCTGAATTCTTTCAATCCAGTTCACGCAGACAGGTAGAAGCTGCACACAAGCAGATCCTTTCCCGAGCAGCACAGCTTAGAGGATGTGGCACGTTTTCCGGAGCTTGGCACGTGGGGCATTTGTGCATGTGCTGTGTAATCATCCCAGCCACGTACCCTTTCTGTGTATGGTGCAAAGGAGACATTCTTGTGGGCAGAGGCGCTCCCGGGAGGTGTAAGCTCTGAGCTCAGGACCTCTTTTCGGTGGACGCTCTTATTTCTCTTACCTTCAGAAATGAATGCCAGCTTTATTAACCCCAAGCCTCCATCCCTGACAGGGGCATGCATCTCACTGTCAGTGTCCTTCCCAGAACTTATAGGAAAACTGTAAACTGCAGCTTGCAAACCTCCCACCTTCTCCTGCCAAAACTTGGACATGGGCAAATCACACTGAGACAATCCATACTGGCCGGGTGCAGTGGCTCACACCTGTAATCCCAGCATTTTGGGAGGTCAAGGTGGGTGGATTGCCTGAGCTCAGGAGTTCGAGATCAGCCTGGGAAACATGGCGAAATCCCATCTGTACTAAAAATACAAAAAAATTAGCCAGGCGTGGTGGTGCTCACCGGTAGTCCCAGCTACTTAGGAGGCTGAGGCATGAGAATCACTTGAACCCGGGAGGCGGAGGTTGCAGTGAGCCAAGATCACATCACTGCACTCCAGCCTGGGCAACAGAGCAAGACTCTGTCTCAAAAACAACAACATTAACAATCCATATAGATTTGGGCGGTGTGGAGGATGCCAGATGAAGAGGAGATATGATGGAATGAGGAAGAGTCAGACTTGTCTGTGCCCAGGAGTTTACAATTTAAGTGGGAAGATAAGACACATGGGAAAGCTATGCAGAGGGAAATGAGATGATGCTTAATTACCAGTTTCAGGTCACAGGTGAAGAGGTTTTGCAAGACTGAGCCTTGCAGACAGGCTTAGCACATGGAAGGGTGGCCAAGCCTGAGGGGTGACAGGGCAGGAAACAGGCCTGCTCACCTCACAGAAACTGGGATCCAAGCTGGGTCTTGGTCTCCTGAGAGGAAGGGCATTTGCGCATGCAGAGCTGAGGGTTAGGAGAAGGGTATGCACCTAGTAAAGGGTGTGGGTGTCCACCCTGGCTGGGTGGACAGAGACCCGAATGAAAAAGGCTGGGAAAAAGTTTGGAAATTGACCAGGTTGAGAAACTTAGGTCCTGAAGGGGTCAGCAAGGCATTGTGGAGGGCCTGCTGCAAGCAGAACTGAAGGAAGGTACATCCAGGCAGCCTTTACTTCCTCTCCTCCACAGCCTTGGTGCTGTGAACTGACACCCAAACCCTCCAGGAGCACTCCCTTTCTAGACCCAACAAAGGGCAGAAGAAAAAAATAAAGCCTGGATCCATTTGAAAAGGGGCCAACCAGCCCCTCCCAAACCTAGTTCTTTGACTTGCACCCAAGACTTAAATACACCCTTTGAAACTCCTCATCCATTGAAGTTCCTTTCCTTTGAAACCATAAAAGAATGTAGGGCTGCATTTTGCCTTGGTGGTAGGAAAATTCCACATGCAACTTGCAGCATTTACAGGGTGGAGACTTCTGTCCTGGGAGCAGGAGGTCTGAGCCCAGGCCTTTCTACAACAGTGACAGCCAGGGGCCTGGCAGTGCAGCCCAGAGGTCGAGGCATGTTCTGGAGTCAGGTCCTGTGTGATAAGCCAGTTAAGTGACCTTAAGCAGGCCACTGGATCTTGTGAAATCCCAGTTTTCTCACTCCTAAAATGAAGACAACATCTGCCCTCACTCTGGAAGGCTGCATACCTTTCATGCACAGGGGTGTATGCACGTGCCAACAAGGGTATCAGGCCAGCTGACATCTGGTTGTTTTTCTCTCCCTGTGGGAACTTCCATATCCTTTGGCAGTCACTGCTGCAGATGAATACATGGGATGGCAAATTGTCACCAGAAATAAACAGCCATCAAGAGTAGAATGGCCTCAAAGGTATGCCATCTAGTCTTTGCCTCTGTGACCAACACCAAATGAGGCTCCATGACATCCAGAGCAGGGTGAGAGGGATCTCTGTCCCCACCAAGTGCTTAAGTGTACAGCAGGAGGTCAGAGGCTGAAGAATGTATTATAGGAGACATCAGAGACTGGAATAGATGGCAGCTTCATTAAGAGGTGGAGACAGAGGTGTAGTGGGGAGAGGGCAGAATACTGACTCAGAGCACCAGGAATCTTAAAAAGAAAATGGCTGAACCGAGACCCTTACCTCATACCATAGACAACAATTAACCCAAAATGAATCATGGACCTAAATGTAAGAACTAAAACTATAAAACAACCAGAAGAGAACATAGGAGAAATTCTTTGTGGCTTTGGATTTACAAAGATTTCCTAAAAGTACACAAAAAGCACAAGCTGTAAAGATAAACATCAATACCTTGATCTAAAAATCATCATCATGATTTAAAACTTTTGTGGGCCGGGTACAGTGGCTCATGCCTGTAATCTTAGCATTTTGGGTGGCCAAGTGGGCGGATCACTTGAGGTCAGGAGTTCAAGACCAACCTGGCCAACATGGTGAAACCCTGTCTCTACTAAAAATACAAAAATTAGCTGGGTGTGGTGGCATGCACCTGTAATCCCAGCTACACGGGAAGCTGAAGCACAAGAATTACGTGAACTCTGGAGCTGAGATCATGCCACTGCACTCCAGCCTAGGCAACAGAGTAAGAGTCCATCTCAAAAAAATAAAAATAAAAATAGCTTCCTGCCATCTTGGATCATGTGGAAGCCTACTGGAAACAGGACTTCTAAAAGAAAATATGTCTGGAAGGCTGTGGTCCAAGGCCATTTTTGCTGGGTATAAGCGGGGTCTCCAGAACCAAAGGGAGCACACAGCTCTTCTTAAAATTAAAGATGATTATGCCCGAGATGAAACAGAATTCTATTTGGACAAGAGACGCACTTATGTATACAAAGCAAAGAACAACACAGTGACTCCTGGCGGCAAACAAAACAAAACCAGAGTAATCTGGGGAAAGGTAACTCAAGCCCATGGAAACAGTGGCATGTTTCATACCAAGTTCCGAAGGAATCATCCTGCTAAGGCAGGAAGCCTGTCATGGGGACACAGAATCCGAGTGATGCTGTACCCCTCAAGGATTTAAACTAATGAAAAGTCAATAAATAAACATGGATTTGTGCTCTTGTAAAAAATAAATAAAATAAAATAAAAATAAAAAAGATTTAAAACTTTTGTGCTTCAAAATGCACTGCTACAAAAATGAAGAAGTATGGGCCAAGTGCAGTGGCTCACACCTGTAGTCCCAGCACTTTGGGAGGCCGAGGTGGGAGGATCAGTTGAGGTCAGGAGTTCAAGGCCAGCCTGGCCAACATGGTGAAACCTCGTCTCTACTAAAAATACAAAAATTAGCCAGGTGTGGTCGTGGGCACCTGTAATCGCAGGTACTTGGGAGGCTGAGGCATGAGAATGTCTTGAACCCAGAGGCAGAGGTTTCAGTGAGCTGAGATGGTGCCACTGCTCTCCAGCCTGGGAGACAGAGCAAAACTGTCTCAAAATACAAAAACAAAACCAATAAAAAGGGTAAAGAATTTGAAGAGACACTTCACCAAACAAGATGTTTGGATGGCAAGTAAGCATATGAAAAGATGCTCAACATCATTAGTCATTAGAGAAGTACAAATTAAAATTACAATGAGATACTACTACACACCCACTAGAATGGCTAAAATTAAAAAGACTGACCATACCTTGTGTTGACAAGGATATAGAGCAGCTGCAACTCTCATAAACAGCTGGTGTGGATAGAAAATGGTTCAACCACTTTGGAAAACAGTTGGCAGTTTTTTTAAAAGTTGAACATACGGCTGGGTGCAGTGGCTCACGCCTGTAATCCTAGCACTTTGGGAGGCCAAGGTGGGTGGATCACGAGGTCAGGAGATCGAGACCATCCTGGCTAACACGGTGAAACCCTGTCTCTACTAAAAATACAAAAGATTAGCCAGGTGTGGTGGCAGGTGCCTATAGTCCCAGCTACTTGGAAGGCTGAGGCAGGAGAATGGCATGAACTCAGGTGGTGGAGCTTCCAGTGAGCTGAGATCGTGCCACTGCACTCCAGCCTGGGCGACAGAGCAAGACTCGGTTTCAAAAAAAAAAAAAAGTTGAACATACGCCAGTTATTCGATTTCTAGGTACTTTGCCAAGAGAAATAAAAGCATATATTCACATAAATACTTGTGAGTGAACAGTCATAGCAACTTTATTCGTAATAGCCCCCAAACTAGAAAGAACTCAAAGTCCACTGACTAATGAATGGATAAACAAATTGTGGTATATTCATATAATGGAATACTACTCAGCAATAGAAAGGAACAAACTGTTTATACAATGATATGGATGAGTCTTAAAACAATGACATTGAGTGAAAGAAGACAGACCCAAAAAAGTGTACATACTGCATGATTCTACATACATACAATTCTAGAAAATGTGAACTAATCCATAGTGACTGACAGCAGATCAGTGGTTGACTGGGGGCAGGAGGGCAGCAAGCAAGGATTTCCAGGGGTACAAGGAAATGAGTGATGGAGATAGTCATTGTCCACTGTGGTGCTGGTTTCACAGGGCAGACGTATGTAAAAAATCCATCAAAGTGTGCAGTTTACTGTATATCAATTATGCTCAATAAAACTGTGCAAAAGAAGGAGGACGGGAGGGAGGCAGTAGCTCTTGGCCCCAGGGGGACAACCAGTCACTCCTTAGGGTTTATCTACAGAATCTATGAATTCACTCTCCTCTACCACCCAGGGGTTCTTTACCAACTCAGTTACACCTCCCCAACTTGTCCCAGGTTCTTTGAGGGCAGGGACTGTGCCTTCTGTATCAAGTCTCTCCTGTTGAGAAAGTGGATAATGGCAATGATGAGGCAGCTTCCGTGGGTGGTAGGAGAGGGGCCGGTCTATCATTAGGACCAGGGCTGATCACATCTGGATCTTGGGGGAGTCTACCCAACTGTGGGGCAATAACACCACTGTCATTTCTACCTTGTTTGTAGAATTCATGGTGACTCACTCCAGGAAGACTCCCAGCACTGCTGAGGAACAGGATAAGGCAGAGGTGAGATGGTGAGCTACACTTGACTGTGAAGGAACTGAACCCCCAGGGCTCACCCTTCAAGTTGGGGCTGTCGGACAAGATGATCCTTATGTAATCTACAGAGAACCATTTACTTCTGGAGCGAGGAAGCCAATGCTGTGTGCAAGGTGCTCCTCCAAACCTGCTGAACCTAGATTCCAATGTTTACCACACTGACCTGATTGAAGTCTCTATGGTCTTGGTCACCATCATTCTGGTTGAGGCACCCCGAGGCTGACAACCCTTGCTAAGCCAGAGCTGGAGCTCTCCCTTCTAGAAGCCAGGCCAGAATCCTGTATGGCCACCAAGTCTTGACTTTCGGAGGCCAAACACTTGATTCAACATGATGAAGCTCATTTCTGTTGCATTCAAGCACCATGAGGGCCTTCAGTAGTGATGGTTCCCATAGATTTGTGTAAACCAAAGTATGGACTAGCTTACACATGCAATCCTTCACTTTGATGCTGGTCCTGCCAACCTCTATGATCTGCCCTCACCCCTGTGGATTTTCCTTGATAGCGTTACTCTTACTAAAGAAAAGCTTGATTCAAAAATCCAACCACATGGGCTGGTTCGAAGGTAGTGTGTTATCTCAGTTGATTGCTCACTGTCAGTTACAGGTTGAACTCCTTGTTCTACTCTTTCCCCCTTCTTGCCACTGCACTTGACTAGTTTAAAAAAAAATCCAACCACAAAATGGACATACGTGTTGGGTTATATGACACTTATGTGACAAAGGAATAAGTCATTTGATGAATAAGTGTCCTGGGTGTTCCTTTAAATCAGACACTTGAGCCAGGCACGGTGGCTTAGGTCTGTAATCCCAGCACTTTGGGAGGCCGAGGCAGCTGTATCACCTGAGGTCAAGAGTTTGAGACCAGCCCAGCCAATATGGTGAAACCACGTCTCTACTAAAAATACAAAAATTAGCTGGGTGTGGTAGCAGCGCCTGTAATCCCAGCTACTTGGGAGGCTGAGGCAGGAGAATCGCTTGAACCTGGGAGGCAGAGAGTGCAGTGAGCCAAGATGGTGCCACTGCACTCCAGCCTGGGCGAAAGAGTGAGACTCCATCTCAAAAAATAATTAATTATAATTAATAATTAATTAATAATTAATTAATTAATCACACAGTCTCTCATGGGCATTCACAAAATAATCTGGTCTGTGGAAACTCCCTGCAGGGGGATTTTCAAATGTGCCTGGGAAGTAAGGTGATACGTCTAGTGAGAGCCATCCTTTCCTCTGGGCCCTGCTAGGGCTCCATTTCCTCAGGAAGTTCCCCTGACTTTGAAAGGGGCCAAGCTGCAGAGGGGGGAGAAGGGCGTGTGTGGCGGAGATCTGCACTTCCTCTCTAGGCCATTCTCGGTGCCCTGCTGACCTCCATTGACTCCACAGAACTTGCCCTGCTCTCTAGCCTGGCACAGCGGCTCCGTAGACTTTGAGCTCACCTCCCATGCTCCCAGGCACTCCTAACCGAGCTCAGCTCCTCAAATGGTGGGAAAGGTCTGTTGTTTAGATCTCTCATCCATTAGACATCAGGTGACACCACTTGGCCAAGTAACCTAGCAAATCCTGCTGATGCATTTTAATTGAAACCATATGCCCAGAATGGCCACCCCAGTGAGCAGGGCAAAATGAAGTGGCCTCTCCCCAGGATGAGCACCTACACAAGGCACAGCACATCGCCACAGCACACGTCTCCCCAGTACAAATGCACTTGTATCTTAACAGAAGAGCTCTCCTGGCCACTGCAACTGGGGACACAAGGGTGTGAAAATGAGCAGGGCACTAAGGCTAACTGCAGAGTCAGATGGAGGAGGACATAGGCATCTGAGATCTAAGACCGATCCTTGGAGCCCTGAGGCAAGCTGTGAATCCCACAATGGTGTGTGCATCTAAGTGGCACCAGGTGGAGGGGAATCATGGTTCTGACCCTGAGACCACCCACCTCCTTGATGGGAGCTCAGGCCCCTATCCAAATAGTTACGGTGTGCCCACTAAGTGCTGACACTGTGGACTCAGTGGTAAACAAGGACAAGCCCTTGCCCTCAAGTTTTCACAGCTTCATCTCTGTGGCATCAGCCCTGAGATATCATGAAGCAAGAGCAGGGCTGGCCAGATTGGGTGCCAAAAGTGGCCCAGGTAGAACTGCAGAACTCCATCTCTTAGTGAAGGGAGAGAGAACTCAGGATAGGACAGGGCAGGGCCAGACATTCTCAACTGAAGCCACTGAGACCTTGGCCAAAACCAAACAGGGACATGTGTGTGAATTCTGGCCGGGATCAGAAAGCAGCCAAGGCTGGCCAAGCTTCAAGAGGGCCTGAACCAAGTCGCAGGTCACATCAGAGCTTCTTCTAAAAGGGCAGCTCCTATAGCAGCCTGGGGCCAGAGGTGCAGCAGCCTGGGCTGGGAGCAAAGGCTGGGCTTGCAGGGAAGAGCAAGAGTGTACAAGTGAGTGGAAAGATTCAGAAGGTGGCCTGATAGGTGGCAGAGGAGGAGCAACCCTAGTGGGCATAGAGGTGACAGCTAAGGATGGGGCCATGCTGTGCATCACAGCCCAGGGGGCAGACCCTAGTCAGAACTATGGCTCCACGCTACCTTCCCACAAGTCCCCATCTGAGATGCTCGGAAGCCAGAGCCCCTCAGCTGCTCCAGCTGGCTTCTGGTTTCTGCTTTTCACTCACCACCTCCCTCCTAGCCACCCTTCATAGGCTTCAGCCTTCTTGACTGTGTTACCTGTGTCCCTGCTGTGGACCCCACATCAGGGTTGGGCTTCCTTGGCTTGGCTCTGGGGTAGCCCCATGTCCAGCTGTCTCTCCCATCTTCTGTCTATTGGGGTCCCACCTGACCCAAGTCTGGCCTCACCCCACACCTACCTGACAAAGTATGAGGTTCGCTGGTGGTTCCTGACAAGGCTTTCCATGATCCCACTTTTAAAATTATTATTTTTATTATTATTTTTGAGACAGAGTCTCGCTCTGTGCCCCAGGCTGGAGTGCAGCGGCATGATTTCAACCCCTGGTTTCAAGCGATTCTCCCACCTCAGTCTCTCAAGTAGCTGGGACTACAGGCGTGTGCCATGCCCGGCTAATTTTTGTATTTTTAGCAGAGACAGGGTTTTGCTATGTTGCCCAGACTGGTCTCGAACTCCTGAGCTCAAGCAATCCATCTGCCTCAGCCGAGTGATCCATCACTCAGCTCAAGTGATCCATAGCTCACTACAGCCTCCACCTCCTGGGCTCAAGCAATCCTCCCACCTCAGCTTCCCTAAGTGCTGGGATTACAGGTAAGAGTCATTGCTCTCGGGCCTCGACCCCACTTGACGTGGGATGGTCCAGACAGGAACAAGGAGTATGTGGCTCTAGAGAAGTGGGCCAAATGCAGGAAATCAGAAGGTTGACACTTCGGTAAGAAACCAGGGACCACTCAGGAGCTGGGTCTGGAGGCGCCCCAGGTCTGCTGGGCAGGCATGAACTAGAAGTAGGTTTGGCTCCAGATTCAAGAGACAGAGTTCTGAGGGCAATCAAGGCTGGGGGCTGGGGAGCCTCCTGGAGACCCCAGGAGCTGAATGAGAGGTGTCGAGAGTGTCTAAGCTGAGGTTGGGGCCAGGAATCTGAAAGACTGCAGGGAACTAGGCAAGTGGCTGGGGACAACTGTCAAATCGGCATCTTTCTCACCTGGGCTTACTGTCTTCCTGTCCCTCGGCATCTCAGAAATGCTGCTGATCCCTGAAGGGTCGGGGCCACGCAAGCCAGAGAGGTGGAAGAGGCTGGCAGGGTGAAGAGCCACAGTGACCGTGGGAGCTCGCCTTGTAGCCCTGGCTGGACAGGATCATCCCCAGGGCATGTCAGCCCTGGGGTCTTCAGAAAGTCCCTTAGCTCCTACAGGCCAGAGAGACATAGTTAGTAAGTCTTGTTCTAAGGAATTTCAGGTGAACTGCTCCCACCTATTCACCCCAAATCTAGAACAAAGTTGGGGTGAGACATGAGACAAATACTCAACATCCCAAGATCTCAAATATCAGTGAGTGAATTTAGTTTGGGGAAACATATAATCAATTCCCAAGGAAAATGTGGCTCCAAGGCTCCTAACAAACGAGAATGACGCCAAGATACCAACACCCAGCAGTCCTACAAGTGGCATCTACAACCATTTGCAGCTGCATGGCCCATGCTGACTGGAGCAAAGGCTGCCAGAAGCCCAGTGCGGGAGCCACACTCTGCCACACAGTCTGCTGTGGGGTCCTGGGCAGATCACTTCTCCCTGGCCTCAGGTTCCTGATCAGCAGGACACTCGCAGCTCTTGTCAGGCTGCATGGGGGAGCCTCATCCACTGAATACCGCTCACTCCCCGAGGGCTGAGCTCTGGGGACAGGCTGTCAGGGCCATTCACCTTCTTCCATCAGATAAACTGAACTTCCCCTAAAGCTCTGCAGCTGGGGGAGCCTCAGCCCTCACAGAGCACTCAGGGACTGCCTCCAAAAACTGCCAATTCTCTCCACGTGATCAAGTGGAGTGACCAAGGACAACTGAAAGGAGAACAAAGAAAGGAGAACCAGACTAGAGGCATACATGACCTCAGAGAACACGCAGCTTCCTCCCCCAGACCACAGGGCTCAGTAGCACCCAATTCCCTGCTGTTCTCGAGAGGGACAGAGTGGTGCCAGCTGGACGGGCCCTGCAGCTTCTCCACTTGTGGCATTGGCCAAGTGACTACCCTGCCCTGCACCTCAGCTTCCCCATGTGCCAAGTGGCATGGTTGTGAGGATAAAATAAGAATGTGTATTAAACAAAGGTCACATAACACACACCCTGTGAGTGTAACTTCCAGGCTTCCCTTCTGACCACACCATCACTCCACCTCCAAGCAGGGCCAACAACTGCTCTGTCACTCTCAGTTTATCAAAACACAAATTAGAAGTCTGTCTCCCCAGGCTGTCAGAGGAAATGGTTCAGAACTGTAAACACGTGTAGCTGCATTTCGAATAACAAAAACGTGGGTGTTCCGTGTTGCTTCCTTTACAATCTATTATTTTTTCTGCAAACGCTACCACTAACAGCACAGAACGTAGCATTTTGGAAAGTTTTAGTGGCTAGGAATAGAAAAAAAAAAAAAACAAAAAAACCCCTATGTCAGCCCCAATTACTTTAAAAGATGAAGAAAAGAAAAAGAAAACAAAACAAACCAAATTTATTTTTAGAAATGCCGTTCTTTGGGCAAATATTGATTTTAAAACAGCAAGAATATTTATACACACATTAACAGGATTTCTCTTACAAAATCTTTAGCTGCTGAATCTCAGGAAATCCTGGAGTTATTTTCAAATTTTTCATTCTGACACAAAGCCAATTTCAGTTCTTGTTAAGAAGAGATTCCATCCTGGCTAACATGGTGAAACCCCGTCTCTACTAAAAATACAAAAAAACTAGCCGGGCGAGGTGGCGGGCGCCTGTAGTCCCAGCTACTCGGGAGGCTGAGGCAGGAGAATGGCGTAAACCCGGGAGGCGGAGCTTGCAGTGAGCTGAGGTCCGGCCACTGCACTCCAGCCTGGGCGACAGAGCGAGACTCCGTCTCAAAAAAAAAAAAAAAGAAGAGATTGCCTTCTACTCATATGAAACAATGTGAAATTGATTTTTCTATTCTCGATAATATTTGTTGAGAAAATAGTCTTATAGTTTTAAAAACAAATCTGGAAATATTTTGAAAGTAACTTTACACTATTTCTTAATATGACATTATTATTTTGATTGGAATATAGTTTCATTAGTCAAAAATCACCTTTACTTTTACTAGTGGTTATCACGTTCACTTCATGTTTCACTACATTAGACAAGGAGCCACACAATGGATCAGCGAAACAGAGCTTTAGCCAGCTTAGTCTGTAGTGGGATTTCTGTACTTTTCCATCAAATCGTTTTAAACGTTATTTTGGTACCCGAAGCCTTAGTGACATGACTGTAACCATCACGAACAAAACTATTATTACACTACAGAAACAAAGAGAAGAATTAGGTTAAGTGGCTGAGGCCACTGAGGAGAAAGGGACAAATACAAACTCCAAATAGACACAAACAATTATTTGGGGATCTTTTTGCAGAAACCATGACATCTGTGCCAGTGAAACTCAATATACACGCACCAGGGCCTCCAGTGAATCCAGGCTATGACAGGCGAGGGGGGTCTTGGGCACTGGGTCTGAGGAGTGAATCAGGCAGCTGCACAGGACCCTGAGCTTGAAGTTTAATGCTCTTCAGTCACCATCTCGAAATCCTTAATAATTCTCTCATTGAGTTTGTGTTTTCTAAGTGATATCTGATGGGACAACACCTAGCAAAGAAAAGGAAGTAGGTATCTGAATTGAGGCAGGTGTGACTTGCGCCTTTTCCTTTGGTTAGAAATACGTTGCATGCTGGTACGAATGTACAGCCTTTAGCAGCAACTTGTTATTAACCAGTAAAATTCACGTGCCAGGAGCTGGGAGCCTCCATTCACTTGAGGTCCTACCTCCCTCCACCTCCCCACCTCCCTGGGACAAGTTCTGGGCCACCTGCCCCTCCACCCAGTGACTGCACCCATCCTGGCATGGGTCTGGGTGCAGATACGGGAAGGATTAGGGTTGGGCGTCTGTGTGAAGTGATGCTTCTCAGCCTTCCTGCCCATCAGCTTCCCTCTGTGAGCTTTTTAGTGAGAGGAGGTGTGAATGTGACCAGTGGCTGCTCAGCAGAGGGCAGAGCCTCAGGCACTGAGAGGATCTGCACTTGAGCTGTAAGGATCTCTTGTGCCCGAGGAAGAGCAGCATTAAATAGCAAATTAAAAAAAAAAAAAAAAACACCACCATACAAGTAGAGAGAGACTGGGGGAAAAGGAAAAAGCTTTTTCCTGCTTCGTGAACAAGGGGCGTTACATTTTCATTGGCACTGGGTCCCACATATTATGTAGCTGGCCGTGGAAGCAGGCACTTAGAGAGAAAGTGCCAATCCTAGAAAAAGTAGAAATAGCCTCACTGTAGGGTATGGGGACTTCTCCCAGCAGGGCTCAAGCAAGAAGGCTGATAAACAGCACTGAGGGCCCAAGTGAGGGTGGAACCAGGCATAGGGAGTCTGGTATCTTTTCCACATAGTCATGTGGAAGGTTCAACCATCACCTAGCAACCTGGTAGCAAAGAAAAGGAAGTAGGTATCTGAATTGAGGCAGGCAGGGCTTGTGCCTTTTCCTTTGGCTAGAATGTTGGGGACAATGTTGCATGTCAGTAGGAATGTACAGCCTTTGGGAGCAACATGGCATTAACCAGTAAAATTCAAGATGCACATAGACCCTGGAGAAATCCCTGCATGTGTGCGAGAGGAGACCAGCATGAGAGTGTTATGGCAGCAGTATGGGAAATACCTCAAAACTGGAAATAATCTTAATGTTCATCAAGAGAATGGAGATGGGAGCATATCCATGCAGCAGGAAACCATAGAGCTATGAAGACAAATCAATCAGAGCTCCATGTGTCAGCATGGAAGACTCTGGAATGTAATATGGAGCAGACCTGTGGGCACCCAGCCTTCACAGGCCACAGTTCTATGTCCCCCAAGTTGGCTGAGTCTTGGAGCAGGGAAAGGCCTGGCCTCCTGTGGGGTAATATGGGAGTCATCTACAAGACCTACCTACATCCAGTCCACCAAGGGCCCAATGCCTGAGTTTCCACCATTAGTAATCTGTTCCTTTGAGTCAAGGCTATGTGCTCTGTAGGCAATCAGAGAGACCAGTGGTTTCATTCTGCAGAGCTCTGCTGAGCAGCTATGGGTCACACTCATACCTCCTCTCACTAAAAAGCTAACGGAAGGAAGCTGATGGGCAGGAAGGCTGAGCAGCAGGGTCAGGCCTAAATTCAAAGCACAATGGTATTTAGGATGGGTCTGATGACAAGAGGTCAGAGGAGGCAGCTAGAAAGCATCAGGAAACAGAAATGCTAATGAAATTATAAGAATTTTAAGAAGGAGTTGCAGAAACTGGTCAAATATCAGGAGGTAGGTCAATTCAGGAGAAGATCAAAAATATGTCATTTAATAATCCAACAAGAAGTCACTGGTAACCTTAGTGGGGACAGTTTCAGTAGACTGATGGGGATGGAATCCAGACTTAGTGGGTAGTAAAAGAAGCTGAGGAAATAGAGGCACAAAATTCGGGCTCCTTTCAAGAAGTTTGTGAAGGGCAGGGTGGGAACTCTGAGGAGAGAGAAGGTAAAGGTTTTCCAGAATGAGAAAGAATTATGTTTGTGGGGTGAAGGAAAGGAACCACACAAGGGAAGGATTAGAGAATCAGAGAAAGAGGGGTAATTTATTGAACTGGATCCTGGGGGAGGCCAGAGAGTGTGGGAGGGAGAGCTTGAGGGAAGGCTGGTCTTGGAAATACCATGTGGATCCTGTTAGAAGCAAAGAAAAGAGCAGTGAACCTGATGTGCTTCACTCTCCCAGGGAAGGAGACATTAAGGTCACTGGAGACAGAGATAGGAGTGGGGTGAACAATTTGAGGAGAGTTGGACACACAGGAAACAGTCATCATGGGGGAATGGAATTAGAGTCTAGCCTAAGGTGTATTAGGTGTAAGTAAAAGGACCAGCAAAGAGCTGGCTGAGTTGGAAACCATGTCTCTGTACTGGTGCTAATTTTCCTCTGTCCCAGTAGAACTTCACAGCCCCGAAGCCCCGCAGAGAAGCTGGAAGACTGGATTATTCCTGACTGGGGTAGGCAGGGAAAGTACAGCTGGACATGGGGCTTACGGCCACTGAGAGCTCTGGTTAGACAACAGCAGCTCAGGGACAGCTGGGGTTGACAAACAAAAGAGACTTTGCCAGTTCTCTTTTCTAACAGAGATCACTATCTGTTACAA